GGGGGGGGGGGTGGGAAGCTTACAGGGAGATGCAGAGGAACTACACTACCCTAGAGGTCGTTGCCAACCGGGTCTTGGGTATAACTCAGGCATCTGAAGTTAGTTCAAATGACCAGGGGGAGTCATCTGGGTCTGGTACGGTAGTGGGGGCCTCTGGTGGTGTGAATGTGCCAGTGGGGGTTCCGCTGCCGAGGAGGAACCAGCTTAGTATCTACGAGCTGGAGCAGTTGAAGGGGGATTATGTGATTCCTGACTGTGTGGGGTTAAGGCTACCAACGCCAACAGAAGCGATGAGGTACCCACTCAAAGGTTGCGTGATGGTGTTCTCAGCCATGTACAAGTATGATTTGAGGCTGCCGTTGCATCCTTGGGTGCAGATGATGTTGGCAAGATTGGGTTATGCTCCTGGGCAGTACAACCCCAATTTTTGGATCAATTTACATGGGGTGTACATAGTTTGGTGGTTGGCCAAGCGAGGAAAACCATCCTTCTAGTAGTTCATGCACCTCTACTCCGTCTCTAGGCAGCATGGTAACTTCGGCTGGGTTTAGGTTAACTGCTGAAAGGAGAAGTAGAGAGGGTACTTCATAGGGCAGCCACCAACGTCGCAGAAGATGTGGAGAAACCGATGGTTCTTTGCCTTCGGTGAATGGGAGTGTTAGCCTGGGAAGACTGTCAGCAGACGCGTGCCTACCCAGTTTCAGTCTATAGGTCTTTGATTTTTCTTTTTGTTGTGTTTGAACTTGCTTTGGTTGTACGTGCTTCAATATGTGTTTTCATGTCTTCCGAAGGTTTGGAAACTTATAGTTTTGTCCTGTGCAGGTTCGGTGAAGTGTAGTCCCGTCTCGAAGGAGGAGGAGGAGGAGATTGAGTTGGTGAGAACCCTAGTCTCAGCAGAGAGATGGGTGGCGAGGAATATAGTGACGCTAGTGCTTCTTCTGGAATCGGGGCTTCTTCAAGGCAATAAGTGTTGTCTTTTTTGGGTTGACCTCTTTTTTTCTTTTTTTTGTATATGAATGCTAGGTTAACTTCTGTTGTGTTCTGTGGATGGCAGTGGCGGGTAAACCGAAGGGGGTGACTATGGTGGTGGAGGTTGATGAAGAGAAGAAGCAGTAGAAGCTGAGGGAGAGAAGGGAAAGGGATAAGGCCAACAGGGCCAAGAAGGCTGAGGGGAAACAAGTCAAGGGTTCGGCAAGCACGGCCGAGAAGGTGGAGGGTCGTACCTTGGGAAACGGCCTGGAGATTGTGATGATGGGCTGGCAGAGTTGGAGAAGAGGAGGAGGGGTCTGGAGTCAGCCATCTAGGATGTGATGGGCGGATCAGAGTTGCTGCCCTTTGACCTGGAGCCTCCTCCGAAGTTACCACTTGGTATGGAGGAGCTATTCCTCATAGGTACAGATGATACGGACTTCGCCGCAGTTCGGTAGCAGAAGAAAGATGTGACTCTGGCGATGCATCGTCAGGAGGTGGCCCTTGTGAATGCCTTCCTGACCGAGGTGAAGATGGATGCAGGGAAGCTGACTCGGACCAAGGCCATGAACTTCTCTTATCGTGTCCAGAAGACGGTCCTGTCTACTGCCAACGTGAGTATCTTGGTGCTTTGGTAAAAATAAAAAATAAAAAATTGAAACTAACTTCGTCTGATGAAGATTTTGTTTTTGTTTTTTTTTTGTCTGCAGGCCTTTGGGGATATGTATCTGACCCTAACTAGGGCAGAGAAGGAGGTGGCGTTGGAGAGACGTCATTCGGAGACAGCGAAGGCAGCAATTGCTGAAGCTCATGCTGCCATTCGGGGGAAGAATGCACTGCAGCTGAAGGTGGGGAGACTGGGGAAGGAGTTAAAGGAGATGTCTCGCCTGTTGGAGGCTGCAGAGGAGGCCAGGGTCGAGGAGGAGAGGAAAAAGGTGGAGGAGCTAGCGGAAGCTCGTGCCAAGGTAGTGGAGGAGTACAAGGGTTCGGAGGAGTTCCCAGACCTTAAGCTGGAGGGGATGGTTGAGGAACACCTGGGCTGGGAGAAGCAGATAGCAAGATTTAACCCAGCCTTGGACATCAACTTCGATACTGGTGGTGTTCATCCTCCCATTCCTCCCGGTAGGGAGTGGATGTTTGCTTCCCCCTCTTTTGCGGATCCTACTAGTCCTCCTAATACCGAAGCAGTAGGTGGTGCGAAAGGCAGCGGAGGTGGAGTGATCCCTAAGGTCGAGCCTGCAGCTGAAAAGGCACCGGAGGAGCGTGTTAACGCCTGTGGGATTTGTATACGTTTTTGTTTTTGTTGTGTAACTTAGTATGTATCCTAGAGAGTTTTATTAGAATGCTGATGGTGCTCGTGTTTTTGTATGAATATTGTCCTGCCCTAAGGCAAGTTTATTTTTATAGTTGTATGGTAGCATATGCCCTTTGTTTTTTAAATAGATTTTTCAATAATTGAGATCGTAAAATGAGTAAAAATAAGCCAAGGTCAGGCGATTCATTAGCTAGATGCCGAACGGCAATAACTTCATACAATGTTTGAGTTTAAGGCTAAAGACATAGGTGCCAAAAGCTCATGAAAACATAAAAACCTAGGGTATGGGCTTGTTTACTTGTGATAATACTTGAGGTGATCAGCATTCCATGGGTGGGGCAAAGGTTTTCCATTGGTGTCACGGAGCTGATAAGTGCCTAGGCGGCAGACCTTGATAACCTCATACGGGCCTTCCCATATTGGTCCATAGGTACCTTCGATCGAGTTTTTGGTGGCCAAGGAAACCTTGCGCATGACCCAGTCTCCTGTTTTGAAGGCACGTGGTTTGACGCAGGAGTTGTAGTGCCCGTTTGGTATTGCTTATTTGGAGTAATAAGTGATTTTTTTTTTAAATTTGGAAGCCCAACCCGTTTGGTAAAAAATATAAAAATCATTTTTTGGTCTTCATTGCTGTCAGACAAATCAGTTTGGAGAAGCAACTGTATAGTTGCTTTCAATTTTGGATTTCTCGGAAATCAGTTTGGGAGTTTAATGAATTTTTCATAATACCAAAAATAGCCTTTAACAACTTCAGAATTTACATCATCTGTCCCTTTTATTTCTGTTCCTCTTCCCTGTTCACGTATCTTCTTCTCTGTTCACGTCTCTTCTTCTCCAGACCTCAGTTTCTTCTTCTCCTTCTTTTCACGTCTCTTCTGTTCTTTCAACCTCAGTTTCTTCTCAAGCGCTGTGTAGAAGCCCCAAGACTTAGGTAAATTTGATATTACTTTTATTTCTTACCTATTTTGTTTTTCCCCTTTGTATTTAATTCCTAGGGTTCTAGGGCACTGAGAAAGCAAGAACTGAAAATTTGTTTGATTGTTATTGATTGTTAGAGACAATAATCAAAACCTGGATGCCCATATAATTGCTTGCTTTAAAGCCAAAGCTTCTGCCTGCAAGTAGAGGTTTAGCATTTTCATCACGGATTACAAAACCTGCAGAAGAACTTCATTAGGTAAAACAAAGCCATTGAAATTAAAGACTTACCAGGAGGACTCTACCCATAAGACTTATCATTTTTATTTCTAAAACTAAGATGACATCAGAATGAATATATCCTCAATAGACATGACCCAAAATGTGAAAAAGAAAAGAATTGTCCTACTTTTTTTTTTATGAGAGAATTGTCCTACTTTTTTTTAGCAGAGAATTATCCTACTTTTACAGTTTTTATGTCTTCTCAATTACCTTGCCAATACCCAATCTCTTCGTAAACGTCAATGGCAAATTAAACCAACAATTTTTTTATTACTTAAAAGAGAACAACGCCTCAAGATGCTACAGAGTCCAGACGTAGACAACAAAAATATGCCATCAAAATATTTTTCTTAAGTTCTTGTTCTTCAGTACTGTAGCTAGTGCAAACAACAAAATCATGCCTTCTCAATATTTCATCCGACTTGTTTAGCACTCTTTTTTGAGCCATGGTTCTTACAATATAGGATAGAGAGAATAGGTGTAGAATGTTTATAGCCATGCTCTCTTACACTATGTGCTGTGTAGATGCCCCTTTTGATAATTTTTATTCATATCGTACCCTGTTTCATGGTCAATGAAGCATAGAGAAAAGACTATGTGCTGTAGATATTCTGGCAGAAGTAGCTAGTGTAGTTTTTATGTGATAGATCACAACAGGTTTGATAATTTTTGTTCAACTACTATTCATGGTGATAGATCACAGCAGGTTAGCTGGTATTTTCTATCTGGTTACAGCAGGTTGTGTCTTTAATTTTTAAAGGGAGTTACAATGGTGTTGCTAGGTAATTGATGCCATCAAGGAACACCTTGATAATCTGGTTATAGCATGCTCTCTCATACTATGTGCTGTGTAAATGCCCCCTTCGATAATTTTTATTCATAAATGTTTCTTCTTTGAAATTTAGCCTCATATTTATATAGCTATTATTTCCTTTTGTGCTTATGTATAATGTCTTTGTTGCAATGAGATGGCAAAGAAGAATAGTAACTTCACCACAATTGAAAATGTTGCAAGTGGATCCCGAAAAGTGTCAGCATTGTGGAATGCTCAAACTATAGCCATCTTCATTGACCTTTGTATCAAGGAGGTGGATCTAGGCAATCGTCCCGATACACTTTAACAAAGTTGGATGGGCAAGGTTGGTTACAAATATTAGTAAAGAGATAGGAAGACCGTATGAAAAATTATAATTGAAAAACAAGTGGGATTTACTAAAAAAAGAATGGAAATTATGGAAAGATCTAAAAGGGAAGGAAACTGGTCTTGGGTGGAATGTCGCTAAGAATACCGTTGATGCATCTGATGAATGGTGGCAAGATAAAATTAAGGTATTTGAATGTTTTGTTCTTGTTTTATTATATTATTGATATCCATGTTTTTTTTTAACAATGTTTAAAAATTCATTATAATATTTGTATATTCCACAATGCAGGTAGAACCCAAATATGCAAAATTCCAATTTGAGGGTATTAGTCCTGAGATGGAGGAGAAGTTATATATGATGTTTTTGAACGTCATCTTGGGCACCTTCATCTGGTGTACTTACAGTTGAAAGTGATGATGATGTCGATCCACTTGAAGTTAACGGTGGATCGAATGAGTCTGTGCCAATTGAAACCACTCACACTACGAACATTGTGCCGAAAAAGAGAACTAATCAATCACTTGAAATTTAAAATAATAATGAGAAGAAAGGTAAAGAAGGGGGGAAAATGGGAGGTGCTGCAAAATTATCACAGCAAATTGAACGTCTTGTTGAGGTGGTTGAGAGTAGGAGAACATCAATGACTAATACAGTTTCACAAGGAGCTAGTATTGCTAAAGTGATGAAAGATATTGCAACTTTACCTGGGGCAGAGCGTGGTAGCAAGTTGTGGTGGTTTGCAACTAAACTGTTTCGTGCTCAAGAGAAGAGAGAGAGATGTTTGTTATCATGGAAGATCCTAACCTCAAGCTTCAATTTCTTAATCATGAGTTTGCTGAAGGATAGAATTTGCTAGTTTGGTGACTTTAATTTATGTTTTGTTTTTGTGTTGTTAATTTTTTTGTGTTGGATGATCTTTTATTTGAATTTGTGATTGATATTTGAATTCTTGTCATCATATTTTATGTTATATAAACATGCATGCATAGTGAAAATGACTTTTGAAGGAAATAAACATATTTACAGGCTATTTTAGAACATGTCCATTCCAGAAGATGAGGAGGAGATCAACCTAATTATATGTGTCACTGCCCATCTTATTGAACTTTATTACATGAAATATATTCATAAGACCCCATGTATGAATGACCATCATACAGGAAATATTTGGTTGATGGGAGTGTTACAAGGAAATGAAAGTCGTTGCCATAATATGTTCTGGATGGACAAATATATATTTATAAGATTGTGTGATGAATTGCAAAATAATTATGGATTAAAGGGTTCAAGAAGAATGAGTGATGCTGAGATGTTAGGGATGTTCTTGAACATCTTAGGACATAGTTCTGCAAATAGGCAAGCATAGGATCGCTTTCAACATTCTGGTGAGACTGTGAGCAGATATTTTAGTAACTTACTTGATATTGTATGTCGTTTGGCTGTGGATGTAATTAAACCATTGGAAAATGCGTTTAACAACACTCCAAAGGAAATCCTACAAGATTCTAGATATATGCCTCATTTCAAGGTAACTATTGCATCTGCTACTCTTAAATATTTGTCTTTGTTTTATTATGTTATAATTAATATTATGTTTATCTTTTTATCACTTGTAGGATTGTATTGGTGCTATAGATGGTGTTCATGTGCAAGCCATAGTATCTCCTTCTAATCAAATACCATTTATTGGTAGAAAAGGGATACCTACCCAAAATGTGATGGATGCATGCAATTTTGACACGCAATTTATATTTGCATGTGCCGGATGGGAAGGCACGACCCATGACACAAGGATAATTTTATCGGCTTTACGTGATCAGAGTTTGAATTTTCCTAAACCTCCAAATGGTACTATTTCTATCTAAAGAAAAAATTCATACAATTTATATTTAAGTTTTTTACATTGTGAATAATCAATTAAATTTCTTTTTTAGGAAAATATTATCGAGTCGATGCGGGATACCCACAAATGAGAAGCTACTTAGAACCATATAAAGGTGAAAGATATCATCTTCCAGATTTTCGCAGGGGTGTTCAACCGATGGGTCATAAAGAGGTATTCAATCATGCACACTCTTCCCTTAGAAGTGTTATTGAACGCACTTTTGGAGTATGGAAAAAGAGATGGAGTATTTTACGAGACATGCCTAGTTATCCTTTTGCAAAACAAGTAAAAATCGTTATTGCAAACATGGCACTTCATAACTATATAAGAAGACATGTCAAACGTGATTGTCATTTTGATGAAAGTGAAAATGACCTAAATGGTATTCAATGTGAAGAGATTGAGATAGAGGTTGATGCACAACAAGAAGATGATCCTGCAACACAAGAAATTAAGGCATTAAGAAATCATATAGCCGCAAGTTTAATGAGTTCATCTACCTAGAGAATGTATATGATTGCTTGTTTATGACAAGCTTAATTTTTGTTATGACCATATTTTTTACAATATATTTATTTTTAATGGAAACTTTATTTATTTTATAATTAAAATAAAATTAGGGTGTCATGGAAACATATTTAATACCCCCAAAAAAAAAAAGATAAAGTGAAAGTGCTTTTCTTTTTACCAAACACTTGAACAGAAAATTCATTTCAACATAATGCCCTTTTTAGTCATTATACACAGCTCACAGTACTTTCACAAAAAATTTACCAAACACTCATAAACTGATTATTGTACAAACAGAACTTTTAACAAAAAGTTTACCAAACGCCAAACTGCTTTCCCTCACAGCTGATTTCTCTCACAGCAAATCTGACGGTGAAAGATATCATCTTCCAGATTTTCGCAGGGGTGTTCAACCGATGGGTCATAAAGAGGTATTCAATCATGCACACTCTTCCCTTAGAAGTGTTATTGAACGCACTTTTGGAGTATGGAAAAAGAGATGGAGTATTTTACGAGACATGCCTAGTTATCCTTTTGCAAAACAAGTAAAAATCGTTATTGCAAACATGGCACTTCATAACTATATAAGAAGACATGTCAAACGTGATTGTCATTTTGATGAAAGTGAAAATGACCTAAATGGTATTCAATGTGAAGAGATTGAGATAGAGGTTGATGCACAACAAGAAGATGATCCTGCAACACAAGAAATTAAGGCATTAAGAAATCATATAGCCGCAAGTTTAATGAGTTCATCTACCTAGAGAATGTATATGATTGCTTGTTTATGACAAGCTTAATTTTTGTTATGACCATATTTTTTACAATATATTTATTTTTAATGGAAACTTTATTTATTTTATAATTAAAATAAAATTAGGGTGTCATGGAAACATATTTAATACCCCCAAAAAAAAAAAGATAAAGTGAAAGTGCTTTTCTTTTTACCAAACACTTGAACAGAAAATTCATTTCAACATAATGCCCTTTTTAGTCATTATACACAGCTCACAGCACTTTCACAAAAAATTTACCAAACACTCATAAACTGATTATTGTACAAACAGCACTTTTAACAAAAAGTTTACCAAACGCCAAACTGCTTTCCCTCACAGCTGATTTCTCTCACAGCAAATCTGACAGCGATTATTTTTACAGCACAGTAATGCCAAACTGGCCCGTAGTACCTGGCGACACGTTGCTTGTAGGAGAAGTTACACATGCTTCCCTGGTTACGAAGTTCTTCGATGAGGTCAAGGTTCAAGGCCAACTATCCGTTGTTTGCTTCGGCATCATATGTAGAGGTTCGGTATGTGCGTTGGCCAATCTCTACCAGGGCGACAGCTTCGGTGCCAAAGGAAAGAGAAAAGGGTGTCTCGCCCGTGGAGGTATGAAAAGTGGTGCGATAAGACCAGAGAACCTCCGGAAGTAATTCTGGCCAGCAACCCTTGGCCGTGTCGAGTTTGGTTTTCAGGATTTTCTTGAAGATTTTGTTCACAGCTTTGACTTGGCTATTAGATTGGGGGTGGGCTAGAGAGGCGAAACAGAGACGAATTTTGAGGTTCAAGCAAAATTGCTTGAATTTTGCGTTGTCTAATTGTCGACCGTTGTTTGTGACAATTGCCTAGGGTATGCTGAAGCGACATACGATATTCTGCCACATGAATGGCTCGATGCGAGTTGCTGTGATGGTAGCTAGCGCTTCAACTTCAGCCCATTTTATAAAATAGTCTACAGCAACAACTGCGTACTTTACCTGGCCTTCGGCCTCTAGCATGGGTCCAATGAGGTCCAGTCCCCATTGGGCGAATGGCCATGGACTTATCATTGTTTTCAATGGTTCGCCCAGGAGCTGTGGAATGTTGGCAAACCGTTGGCATTTGTAGCATTTTTGGGTGAAGGTTTGGGCATCAATGTGGAGTGATGGCCAAAAATACCCCTGCTGAATGGTTGCCACAAATGCCCTCATGGATCCCCCGAAGGACATAGTTACCTTGTTCTGGGGTCAGACACCGAAGGTAGGGGAGACTGAAGCTGTGTTTGTATAGAGTGCCAATAATGATCAAGTATCTGGCGGAGCGATAGCGAACACGTCGCGCTTCAGCAGGATCGACAGGTAATGTCTAGTGTTGTAAGAACTGGAGGATGAGGTCCCTCCATGTGGGGTTGTGGTCAATGGCATAAATGGTTGGTGTTTGGGTGTTTGGGTGTTGGGCTGGTCTAGGAACTCCATGTGGATGTTGCAGCCAATGCCTTGTTCTAGGGCCGAAGCTAACCTTGCCAGAGCATCGGCATGGCTGTTTTCATATCGTGGGATCTGGCTGATGCGATAAGCGTCGAAGGTTGTCAATAGGTGATATGTATGCTGAAGGTATGCCATCATGGAGGTGTCCTTGGTGTTGAAGTCCTGATTGACTTGATGAACGACTAGCTGGGAGTCGCTGAATATTTGGATCTGTTTAGCGCCCATTTCCTTGGCCAACTAGGAGTGCTTCGTATTCGGCGACATTGTTGGAGGCGTGGAATTTAAAGTGGAGGGCGTATTCTAGGACGACTTTGTCTGGAGAGGTGAAGACTAAGCCTGCCCTGCAACCATGGGCGTTTGAGGAACCATCTACATATAGTGTCCATAAGGGCTGATTAAGGTCGAAGTTGCCTTGATTTGAGATGTGGGCGAGGGTCGAGGGAGGAGTAGGTTCGGGTAGGATCAGAGGAGTGGTCGAAGCTTGGGGTTCTGTAAATTTGGAGATAAAGTCGGCAACGGCCTGTCCCTTGGTTGCTGGTCATAGCTTATAGTAAATATCAAATTCATCGAGCTCGATTGCCCACTTAACCAGTTTGCCAGATGTCTCTGGCTTCTGCAACACCTACCTCAGAGGTTGATTGGTGAGGGCGTGAATGGTATGCGCCTGGAAGTAGGGTTGAAGGCGTCTGGCTGAGACTACAAAGGCAAAGGCCATCTTCTCTATGTCTAGGTAACGAGCTTCAGCATCCTGCAATGCCTTACTGATGTAGTGCACAGGATGCTCGACACCATCCATTGGTCGGATTAGCACTGAGCTAACTACTGTGGTGGATACTGAAAAGTACATCGTTAGGATTTCACCAGGCTCAGGTGTCGACAATAGAGGCACCCTACCCATATATTCCTTGAGTTCGGTGAAATCGTTATCGCATTCAGGGGTCCAGGTGATATTACGCTTGTTGCCTTTGAGAGCCTTGAAAAATGGGGCGCAGCAGTCAGTAGCCTTGGAGATGAACCTGGTTAGGGTTGCGATGAACCTGGTTTTGACCGTCTTTGGTACCTTCATGTCCAAGATGGCTTGATTTTTTTATGGATTGGCCTCGATGCCACACTGGCTGATCATGAAACCAAGGAATTTTCCTGATGCTATGCCGAAGGCACACTTCATGGGATTGAGTCGCATGTTGTATTGCTTCAATACTGCGAACATGATAGATAGGTTAGGGATGTGTTGGTCAGATGTGCGACTTTTGACTAGCATGTCATCGACGTAGACTTCCATGGTGTGGCCGATCAATGGGGCAAAGAGGTTGTTCACGAGGCGTTGGTAAGTAGCTCCGAGGTTTTTGAGGCCGAAGGGCATCACCTTGTAACAGTAGAGGCCCCGGTCAATAATGAAGGATATGTGGGCCTGGTCATCGGGGTACATAAAGATCTAGTTGTATCCAGAGTAGGCATCCATGAAGCTAAGAAGAGCGTGGCCTGCTGTGGCATCCACAAGCTGGTCAATCCAAGGTAGAGGGAAGCTATCTTTGGGACAGGCTCGATTGAGGTTGGTGTAGTCTACACACATGCGCCAACCATTCTTAGGTTTGCAGACCATTACCACATTTTCCAACCACGTGGGATAGTCTACTTCCTTAATGAAACCAATACTTCGTAGCTTCTCCACTTTAATCTTCATGGCCTTGTATCTCTCCTGGTCATAGGCACAACGCTTCTGCCAGACGGGTCGGACGACGGGGTTAATGCTTAACCAATGGGAGATGATATCGAGCGATATGCCAGGCAAATCGTTGTAGGATCAAGCAAAGACTTCGGAGTTAAGGCGGAGGAAGACTATGAGGGTGGAGTGAAGGTCGGGTAGAAGGGAGGTGCCAATCTGTACCTGCCGATCCGGGAAGTCATCATGAAGGTAAACAAGTTCAAGGTCTTCCACTGGTTCGGCTTGGAGGGTGACGGATTCTACCCTAGGGTCCTTAGGTCGTTCAGCACCAACTCGAGGAAGGGGTGGGGTTGTGGTTACCGAAAGGGCTTCACGTCGTTGTTGGCGATTGGTGGATTTGACTGCCGAAGTGTAGCAACTTTGGGCACCAAGTTGGTCGCCGCGCACCATGCCCGTGCCATGAATAGTAGGGAACTTCAGCATCAACATGTGTGTGGAAATGAAGACCTTCATTTGTGCCAAAGCGGGGTGTCCAAGAATGACGTTGTAGGCCGTGGGACAATCGACGATAAGGAAGGGAGTGGTGACCGTGGCTCGTTGGGGTGCCGAACCAATAGAGATGGGGAGGTGGATGCTTCCAATGGGTTGGACGACATTTCCAGAAAAGCTCACAAGAGGCATGATGCTTCAGTCAAGAAAGTGATCAAGGACCTGGAATTCGTTGAAGGCCTCTACAAACATGACACTGACTGAGCTGCTGGTGTCGACCAAGATACGCCCAACGTCGAAATTCGAGATGTCTGCTCGAATGATTAGCGGGTCATCATGGGCAAGGTATTAAATGTCAATATTATCGGATTTTTGGGGGGCCGATATTTTCGCAACAAACCATGGTGTTATCGTCAATATATCGATATTTTTATTGATATTATCCTGATAATATCGAGAACGATAATATCAACATTTTTATGAATGATTTGGGCAATATATCGCGATATTATTGATAATATCCCGATAATATCGCGATACGAAACCCAAAAATATTTATATACATGGTTTTTGTGAAAACCATTTTACTCCTTC